AAAAGTAGAACCAATATAAAAGCAGAGACAAGAACCTCCACTTTGAAACAAAAATAAAATTGTGTGTGTGCACTGTAGAAGCCTCCAATAATAGGTTGGGGTGTCCACTTGCTAAGGCTCCTCCTCTAGTCACCACCATTGAGGTGTGCAGATAGATATTGAAAAGTTAATGGGAGAAAGAGTGTTTACTATTTTTGTCTCTGAAGGTCAGTTAAGTATCTTTGTGTGCACAGTATAATTCTTGAAATAGTTGCCTCTTTTTATGTTGGGGTTTTACAGATTGTTTATATGGTTTATCTGTCAGGCCAAACATGCTTTTTTTCTTACTGGATAGGCAGGGGTTAATGGTCCTGCACAAGTTAACATTAGGCTTGGGACCCACAGGCAGAAGTCAAAAGCAGCAGCCAAAGGATTTGCCCTTGGGCTGATGGGGCTCTTTCTCTCTGTGCCGTGGGACAGCTGTGGTCTTAATGCTGGACTGTTTTGGGGGTGCGCACCCACTGCTTGAAGGTGTCCAGGCTGGGCAAAGAAGGCATGACAGGGAAGAGGAGGAAAAAAAAAGTGTAGAATCCTTCCACACCTCCTTTTGCAAATGTCGCTTTGCTGCTTTTAGGGCTGGCTCCCTGTGCTGGTCTGGCTGTAGTCCTGCCCTCTGAATTCCACCCGGTGGGATGGCCCCAGAGGGAGTCCCATGCCGATTTCTAAAACGCAGTATTTTCCTTTATACCGTCATTTTTTCTGCTCGTGGTTGTGGGAAACTGATGCTCTGACCCTACGGTAGATCCAGAGCTTTGGTGCAGTTTCATGAGAGCAGCATCTCTGGGTTTTCAGCCCCTCCCCCATGGAGCCTGTCCTACCTGACTCTGCTCTACTGCTGCCAACCGGAAGTCCCCCGTATCATTGGCTCTAGATCATATTGTTGTAAAGCGCTGTTGAGTCAATTCCGACCCATAGCAATCCTGTAAGGGTTTCTGAGGAGCAGCTGGTGAGCTTAAACCACCAACCTTGAAGTTCAAACGGCTTTGCAGTCAGATGCATTAATTCACAGTACCATATGCTGCCTCTTAAAACGGTTGAACACCAACCATTTCCTTTTGGTACAGTGACTCTGCGTATTCGTTCCATCTTTTTTTTTTTGATGCTTTCTGCATCATTTAATAATTTGCCCAAAGAATCCTTTAATAACAAAAGTCAAGGCTTGCATTTTTTCTTCAGATCCCCCTGCTTGGGAAATGCTTGAGTGTGTTCTTCTTTTTTGGTTTTCTGACTCCAGATCTTTGCACATTTTGTTGTAATATTTGACTTCTCGAGCTGACCTTTGAAATTTTCTGTTCAGTTCTTGTTACCTCTTCATTTCTTCCATTTACTTTAGCATCTCTGCGCTCGAGAGCAAGTTTCAGTGTCTCCTCTGACAGCCATTTTGATCTTTTCCTTCGTTCTTGTCTTCTTAATGACTTTTTACTTTCTTTCTGTATGATGTTCTTGATATCATCCCACAACTCTTCTGGTCTTCGGTCTTTGGTGTTTAATGTATCAAATTTGTTCTTCAGTTGATCTCTAAATTCAGGTGGGATATATTTAAGGTCGTATTTTGGCTCTCATGGACTTGTTTTCATTTTCTTCAGCTTCAGTTTGAATTTGCATATGAGCAATTGATAGACTGTTCCACATTCTGTCCCTGGCCTTGTTTTGACTGCATTTCTTTCCACAGATGTAGTCAATTTGATTTCTGTGTATTCCATCTGGTGAGTTCCATGTGTATAATTGTCTCTTATGCTGTCTAAAGGTATTTGAAATGAACAAATCATTGATTTTTCAGAATTCTACCATGTGATCTCCAGCATCATTTGTATCACCAGGGCCATCTTTTCCAACTACTGATCCTTCCTCTTTGCTCCAAACCTTGGCATTCTAGTCACCAGTAATGATCAATACATCTTGATTGCATGTTTGATCAATTTCAAATTGAAAAAGTTGGTAGACTTCTTCTATTTCATCCTCACTGACTTTAGTGGTTGGTGCGTAAATTTGAATAATAATGGTATTAACTGGCCTTCCCTGTAGGCACATGGATATTATCCTATCACAGACAGTGTTGTACCTCATGACTGATCTGGATAGGTTCTTTTTGACAATGAATGCAACACCATTCCTCTTCAATTTGTCATTCCTGGCACAGTAAACCGTGTGGTTGTCAGATTTAAAATGGCCAATACCAGTCCATTTCAGCTCACTGATGCCTAAGATATCAATGTTTATGTGTTCCACTTCATTTCTGACAATTTCCAATTTTCCTAGATTTATATTTCATACATTCCATGTTCTGATTATTAATGGATGTTTACAGCTGTTTCTCTTCATTTTGTGTTGTGCCCCATCAGCAAATGAAGGTCCCACGGGCTTTACTCCCATGGGCTTTTACTACATTCGCGTCATAACTTTGAAGAGGCAGCTCTTCCTCATTCGCATTTTGAGTGCCTGCCAACCTGAGGGGCTCATTTTCTGGCACTATATCTGATAATGTTTCTTTGCTATTCATAAGGTTTTTAGTGACTAAATATTCGGAAGTTGTTTGTCACTCCTTCTCCCTAGTCTGTCTTTGTCTGGAAGCTCATGTGAAACCTGCCCACCATGGGTGACCCTGCTGGTATTTAAAATGTCGGTGGCATGGCTTTCAGAATCACAGCAACTCACAAGCCACCACAGTACAACAACCTGACACATGAGTGGTGGAAAATAATCCTAGAATATATTTAGTTAGAACTTGTTTAAAATGTATGTGATTTAGCTTTTTGAGGGACATCTGTCAGTACTTTTGGTGTTAGCTCCTGGACTGGAATTCCTTTTTTTTTAAAGATAGTTTACTAGGCTTTTTTTTTTTTTTTTTCCCCCCCATTTTCCTTACTCCTCCCATTAGCCTCTTTTTACTTAATAGAAAGAATCATAGTATTCTAATAAATTGCTGTAGTCCTATTTTTTTATGTTTTGGAGATATAGTTAATGCTATATACTGAGAGTGATTATTGTTAAGTGCTTTCAAGGCCGACTTATAGCGAACCTATATAGAGTGTTCAAGGAGCGACTGGGTGGGTTTGAACCACTGACCTGTGGTTAGCACTCCCGTACCTTCTTTACAATGCCATGATTAGTATTTATTATGAATAGCCTATTTTTTTATTTTTAATTTGGAGAGAGAATACAATCTAAAAAATTCCTAATGCATGATAGAATTGTAATTATTATATGTTTAAGCAGGATTTTTAAATACATTCCAGATGATATATATATATATATATATATTTGAAATTCAGAGACAACTGTGGGTAACTATTAATGAATTGTGTTTCATGTTGATTTAGTTATGGAATGTCTCAAACGGCGAGCTTCTTCATTTATGTGCTCCGGTTTCAGTAGAAGAAGGAGTCGCTACCCACGGAGGTTGGGTGACTGACCTTTGCTTTTCTCCAGATAGCAAAATGCTTGTCTCCGCTGGGGGATATCTGAAGGTAAGAGTTCCTTAATGAATTTTGTGCAAGAAGAGAACAGCCTATGATACTCTTTGTAAGGTTTCTTCGCTTCCTGTATCTCCAGGAAGCCTTGTACAGCCGTGGAGAGTAGAAGGGCAGCACGTGTTGTCCCCTTTTGCGGTGATGAAACTGCAATAATCTGTAAGGCTATTTCCTTAGACTTGTGGAAGATTGGTGATACTGTTAGGCATGTTCTCAGCCCAGAGCAGTCATCCTGCCCCTTACAAAATATGAGATGATTAGATTGACTAGCAAATTGGGAGAGTTTAACTTAGTTTTATTTTTTTACTTAATTACTAACTACTTTAATTGAAAGTCTTTCAAAAAAAATGCATTTGTAAGTTTCTTTTTCCTTCAAGCAATTATAATAATAGCTGCTGCAATAGTAACATATTGCTTTATAGGGATGCAAAATGCTTTATTTAACATCATCTCTTTAGATACTCAACTTTGAGGCTTTAACTTTATTACCCTTGGTTTATAGATTAGGAAAGTGGTTTTCAGGGAGGTTATGACTTTCCTAAAATTACTTAGGACTGACTCAGGTCTTCTTCCTGCTTATTTTTTGTATCAAGTTTACTTATGAAATTGATCAGCGAATACTCAGGCTAGACCTTGCTTATGTTGTGGTGCTTCCATGTCATTTTTGGTGCTTTTGTCTAGTTATTCATTCATCTTAGAAGAAGGTGTTAAGTACCCATTTTATATTAAGACAAAGTGATATGTGATATAACACATATGATTGGGTTCATGCCCTCATGAAGTTTACAGTCTGTTGAGTAAGCTGACTTTAAACAAGTTCTCTGAAGTGCCTTACACTTGAGATGTTCTAGTACACATTTACTTGAAGAGAGTAGAGGCCTCAAAGAGCAATCGTTTGTACCTTAGGGGGTTAGCAGAGGCTCCATAAGGGGGTGGTGGTGGTGCTTGAGTTGTAAAAGGAGAGGAGATGATGCTATGTATTACACTGACCACTTAGACATTTTTAAAACCTTTTATTTTAAAATAGATCTCTAGAAAAATCATATGATGTTGATTTTATTATTTTAATTGAAAACAGTCATGTGTAAGATATGGCTCTGCTTAATTGTATAGCAAGATGCTCTGGTAGCATAGCGGTTACCAATCAGGCTGCGAACCTCAAGGTCAGCAGTTCGAAACTACCAGCTGCTCCATGGGAGAAAGATGAGGCTTTCTGCTCCCGTAAAGATTTACAGCCTTGGAAACCCTGTACAGGGTCGTTATGGGTTGGAACTGACCTGACAGCACTTAACAACAACAATTGTATAACACAGTGTAGATATTAGAAAATACATGACTTCATTAATGGTTTTGGCCATTTGAGGGCCCATGCAATTGCAGTTTTACCAAATATAAAAATCTAGCTTATACAAAGATAAATTGGAGGGCCAGCTTTCACTTTATGGAAGGATGTACACATAATGATCTCCTCCCAAGGTTGTACTGACAGTACAACTGTGTTTTCAGAATGTTGCATTAGCTCACTACTTTCTGGGGTACAACTTGTTCTGTTATTAGGGCATGCTGAGTGAGATACGACACTACTTGTCTTCAGTATAAACAACAGCTGTAAATTGTAGTCTGCTCTGAGGCTGCTGCTAAGAACAGAGACACTGCTGTCTTGGTGTTGGGAGCTGGAAGTCTTGAGCTATACTAACTGCTGACAAGCCTCCCAGCTTTGACACTAAGCTTTGAGATACCACGTCATTTGATTTTCTAGGCCCCATAGAACACTCATCTAAGCGTGAATCTGGCTTACAAAGTGTCATAAAAGATCGCTGACCAAGACTTTCAGAGTTCTTGGAGTGCATTTAAGTAAATTAGCAGTTGAATAGATGTTATATAGGGGTTATGTCTGAAAGGTGAAATATGTAGTCTATCTATTTGGAGTGTATATTTCAGTCACAATCATGCTATTTGTCCTTCTGGTTTGCTTAGTAGTGTGGTTAAACTGATTAATCCAGCCTGCAGCTACACAGCATGGTAATGAGACTGTCCAAAAGCACAGACACATTAACAGTAAAAGGGAACACCTGATGTAATGTCCAAGGAAATGGGCCTTTTGAGTCTGTTTACTCTGGTTTCCAAGCTGTATAAATTGAATGTCAGTAAGATAATATAGTATCCAGTAGCCTTCTTAAAAGTATTCCTATTTATAATTTTTAAAATGGTATCATTTAGCTGCTTATCTGCATTATGCCACAGAGCATGTACTGTTAGAATGACAAGAAATTTACATTAATTCATATTCTTGAGGGAAGAGGAAGATGGATTTGAAATACAGACTGCACTGAGATAAAGGCAGGTTTACCATTACTTAGAGGTCTTGGGCAGACCACCTGAGTTCGAAGTCTGGCACTGGCCCTCATTAGCTTTGTGGCCTTGCATACGATTTGTTAACATCTCTCTCTGTACCTTGATTTTTCTCATCTATAAAGTGGTTATAATAATAATCATACTTCACAGTGCTGAGAGGGCTAAATGAGTTCATGCATAGTGGCACGTGGAATGCCCTGAGTTACAGATAGTGGCACGTGGAGTGCCCTGAGTTAAGTGTTAGCTGCAATTTTAATATTACTGCTCTGTAGTCCATATTCAAACCACTGGCTGCTGTTTTCAAGTAGAGTGGTCCCAGAGCAGTATTGGGAGCAGAGACTCCTCTCCCTTTGCTCTGCTGGTAGTGTTGGGTTGGCTGACAAGGCCCTTCTCTCTGAACGCCCCCAGTTTCTGTATTTATAAAATGAGATAGTTGGACTAGGTGACTGTAAAGATCTTTCCATCTCTACAGTTTTACCTTAACAACTGGAAAGTAACCAGTGTTCTCAGGTAGATGGACTACATCCCTTGCAATTTTCCTTACACTTTTATTTTACAAAGCAAAAGTGTTAATGCTGGAAGTTAGTGCATGCTGCTTTGGTGAGGTATACTAAAGCCCAGAGGCACACTTTTACTGGTTACTATGACTGATAGTGAAAATGCAGAGTCAACCCAGTCACATGTGCAAGGAGGGATGCTGGGCACTGCCAGGGACTCAATAAAGGGGCTTCAAAAAATTCGTGGAAAAATGGAATGAAAAATGATGAAATTTTTTCCACAAACTTTTTGAAGCCCCCATGTATTACAGGATAAATCACTGGCTGCAAGTTGGTTTGAACCATAAAGTTGGCGGTTCAAACTTACCAACTGCTTCTTGGAAATCTTCTCCAGGTTTGTTGTGAGTTGGAATCAACTCGATGGCCCTTAACAACAAACAGCACTCTTGATGTAGCTCAGGCTTGGGGTAATTTTTCTTAATGCTTTTATGTACATTGTCTCTTTTGCCCCTGTTATCTGTGTGTTGATATATAGGTAAACTTTAGGACCTCGACTTGGTAACTGAATATGAATGTTATATAATCTTACAAATTCACTGATTGGGAGGAGAAAGAATAGAGTTGGCCACATTTCAGTATCTGTTTAGCAAAGAAATTGGGTCCTGGACTTTTGAGTCAATCTTGGTAAAAGGGATGATTCTGTAGAGAGGATATTCTTTCCTACAGCCCGTATGACAAGTAAGAATCTATCTACAAAGGGCCATTTTAGAATGCAGAAAGGGGTATTCCATTGAGGAAGACATGCAGACAGTCACTGCCATAATGGACTTTGAATAGCAGCTCTGAAGCAAGCTGTAGCATCCCTCCAGCACATTTCTGTTAGAGTTACATGAAGGCAGAGCTGTGACGATGTCACCAGGGTTAATCAGAAGACTGACCAGGTTGATAAAGCTATATTGCAGCATAAAACTTCGAATTCTTCCCTGCTGTTTACGTAAGTTTGAGAGTGGGACAGTGATAAGGGTACAGAGGGTCTGGCCAACACTCCAGATTGTCACTCAGTATAATTATAAGTCTAATGGTCATTTCATTTTTCTCTGAATAGTGGTGGAATGTCGTCACTGGGGAATCTTTGCAGACCTTCTACACAAATGGAACCAACCTGAAGAAAATACATGTGTCCTCCGACTTCAAAACATATGTGACTGTTGATAATCTTGGTATTTTATATATTTTACAGATTTTAGAGTAAAACAGTTAAGCATGAATGTAAGTTGAATTGTTTACAAGTTTGAATTGGAAAAAATTTCTAATGAAACTCTGTATTTCAACTTCTTGTTAAGCTGTGAATTGTTTTGTATTATTACATTCATTACAGAAGTGTTTGTTGGTGGGTGAACAGCTTGTCCTTAGGTTGCAAGTGAAAGTGTAAATACATACCTTGTTATATGGTTGCTAAAATTTTCTCTTGAATTAGAATTCAAGATGCATTCAACTTGGTTGACATAATTAATGAGAATGATTTGAGGAAAGCTGTATTTTAATGCAATCATTATGTAGCTATATAGCCTCAGGGTAGCAGTAAACTGCTCTCAGAACCACATTTACCCCAAGGGGTGTGTGTAATACTTCTTCCAAATACAATCTTTGAAGTTTATTTGCACTCCTTAAGTTTGCTTTAAACTTATTGTGTCTTTGTGCACGGTCAGCAACATATCCCTTAATTAACTAGATTAGTGAGTCTTGGATTTTGAAAATCCTTTCTATGAAGCAAGAATTAATGTGTTGGGAGAGAGTAGATTTGACAGGTCTATCATTTCTCATAACTGGACTCCACTTTTCAGTATCTGATTTGAGCACTAATCTTTCTCTCTCTGTCTTTTTTTACATACCAGACGTCTTACGTGTCCAAACTTGACCTTTCATAATCCTCACTTTTTCTTCTTTTTTTTTTTTTTTAGCAATTGATCCACAGTTAAATGTCAGTAAATCAGAATAATAAAGTAAGGCCAATTTTAATCCTCAACTTTTATGTTTTTTTTTTTTTTAATAAGAAATGTGAACTAGTAAAGTCTTTTTCTGTTTTTCATTGACTTGTTTTTTTCCTCATTGTTGAGTGAAAGTTTACAGAGAAAATTAGTTTTTCATTCAACGATTTGTACACGTTTTATTTCTTGACATAGGTTGCATTCCCCTTAATGTAATAGAGCACTTCCCATTTTCTCCCTGGGTTCCTCCATTTGCATTTGTCCTTCTTTACCTGCCCCTTCCTGACTTCTGAGCTTTGTTTTTGGGCAGATGATGCCCCTTCAGCCTCTTTGTTGGTTGATTGTCCTCACGAGTGTGTTGTCACTACTCACTGCATTTACTTTTGGATGAGTGGTGTCGTCAATGCTGTTTTCCTTGTGAATTTCTCTATGGTTTACTGTACCAGTACAGAAGAGTCATTGTGACTGAAAGGTGCTCAGTTATAACTTTCCAGTCTTTCACCCAGTCAACCTGTTTCTCTTCCCCCTTCCTCCTCCTACAATTGTTAATCAGGAAAGATAGCTTTGGATAGGAAAAAAGCTTAGTAGCATCAATAATTAGCTATTTTTGACCTCCTGAGTTAGGAACTTTAATTGAAACTTAAATATAAGCATTTTCTCTGAAATACATTAAGGACAATGGAGAAAAACTAATAGTAGCTGGAGTCCATATGGAAAAGTAACCAAAACTCAGTTTTTGTTTCTGTCACAGGAGCTAAATCAAACTGGCACTATTATTAACAGTAGGTCAGCAATGAGCTTGCGTCTGTTGTTGGCCTGTTAGTATACTGAAACATTTGATGGGATCTAAATGTAACCACTCAGATGCATTTTAGATTAAATAGTCCTTCTTAGCATTTTGTTGTTGTTGAGTGCCCATCAAGTCGGTTCCGACTCATAGCAACCCTGCATAAGGCTTCTGAGGCTTTTTAAACCTTTGGAGGAGCAGAAAGCTTCATCTTTCTCCTGTGGAGCTGCTGGTTGGCTCAAACCATCTACCTTGTGATTTGCAGTCCAGTGCTTATATGATGGAGCCCCAGCATTTCATGGCATTCAAAGAAAGAAGAGTGAAGTATAATTTTATATTGCTGAGTAGGTTTTTTTTTTTTTAATGAAATAGTTTAGAGGATTTACTGTGATTTAAGTAAATATGTTAAAATATTAACTTTATAAAAAAATTTCTATAAATGGTATATATCTGTTTACAGTATGTAAATCATCATTGGATTTGGATGCAGTGTTTAAGAACTCATCTATAACCCAAAGTTTGAAATATTAATTTTTGGAATGAAAAGTCTTTAGACTGTTAAACTATAACAACAACCACTAGCTTTTAAAAAGCCTTGGTTGAGTTGGTCCTTGTCTGAAAAGAAATGAAAAAGAATGGGAAGAAACACTAAGGTGTACCCTAAAGTAAAAGGAGACGTTGAGTATGAACGACCTTCAGATTTCATGGCAGCTCACAAAGTCAGTCGAGAGGAGGATGTGGTTTTATAGTTGGCAGATGAACATTTTCAAGAATTTTCCCCTGATTCAGTTTTTGCATTGGAAATAACATTGAACTTTGTAAAGACATAGTTTTTTTTACATTGTATGTGTTTTGTATGGTTTGAAAACTGTCATTTTTGTATTTATAATATTGTCTACATGATTTTTTTTTTGACTTGGTGTACATTTTGAAAAATGCATATTAGAATGTCTACAAAATAAAATTTCTAAAATCTTTTTGAAAACATTTTCAGACTGTTTCGGACTTCTTACTTGTCATATACCTGTTGAATAGAGGACGAAGGTGAAAGATTCTTTAAGCTAAAGCCACTAACCTTTCCACCTATGCTTTATGCTTTACCAGCTATGTGTAAATTCTATGAGAATTCTCTGTTTCCTCAGCGTGTGTCTGTGATGGTTATTCCCTGGTGTGGCTGGCCTGGAGAAGATTCTGTAAAAGGGAGAATTCACTTATTCATGAACTCTTTTAAAAAAATCACTAATTAAACAAATATTTATTGAGATCTATTCTGGAGTCATGATGTGGCACTGTAGAATAAACACTTGGACCACAAATTTGGCAATTCAGACTCACCAGTCACTCCTTGGAAACCCTATACAGAGTTGTTATGAGTTGGAATCAACTGAACAGCACTTAACAAGAAGAAGAACAACAACAACATTGTAGATGTTGATAGAGGAGTAAACAAAGCCATCTTGGGGCTGAGAGGAGCAGACAATGAAACACATAAATTCTCTATTGTGTTAAATGGTATGTTTAAATGGGGGTCCAGGTTATAGTTTTATATGGAATGACTCATTGAGAAGGTGACATTTGAGTGAAGACTTGAAGAAGTAAGGAAGTGAGCTCTGCACATACCTTGAGAGCATTCTGAGCCAAGGGTACGGCAAGCAGGCTAGTGTCACTGGAGAAGAGAAAGTGAAGGAAGTAGACTACAAGATGAAGGTAGAGGAGAGTTGGTGTCAGCATGTGGAGGGCCTTCTTGGCCATTGTAAGTATGTTGGCAATTACTCTGAGATATAAGAGCTTGGTATTTGAGGAAAGGAGTCATCTGACTTCAGTTTTAGTTTGGTCATTCTGGCAGTGGGAAGCAGAGAAACCAGTGAGAAGTTATTGCAGTAATCTGAGCAAGAATGAAGGAAGACCAGGCTAAGGTGACAGCTGTACAGATGGTTACTAGTTGGATATTTTCAAGAGACTTGGTAGGATTTGCTGATGGATTGTATGAAAATTAGTAAAGACAAGTCAAGAATAGTGCTAAACCGATAAGGAGAAGTGAGGGAAAAACAACAATGAAGCGGTGAGCTAAGCCCTACAACATTCAATAGACTTTTGTAAACCCTGGTGAAGACCTGGTTGGCCAGCACAGTGGCAAGACCAGGGGACTCTTGGGCCTAGAGTCAGTGACATAGCCACAGAGGACTAGAGTGGAGAGTGAAGCATCCAGCTGATAAGAAGAGAGGG